GCTTTATATAAAACGTCCCATTTCTCACTCATTGGTCAGAGTCCAAGCTGGGTTGTGCATCTCTGTGTGGTCAGCAAGAGATGAGCTATACAAGGAGGCCTTGATCCTGGTTTTAATAGGCCATTGCCCACAGTTTAATGAGCGTGTTTCCTGGTTGGCATTCTCACGTAACAGGCCAATTATGACTTGAGCCATACGATGGATTTGGAGGAGATTGAGTGGCGGGTTGGCATGCAGGCTGCCGGAGTTCTAATGCCCCATGGATCACTGCAGTGCGTAGCACACCTCACGCATGAAATTCACAAAACAAAACTTTAAAAAAAAAAGAAAGCATACAAAATCCCATGAGCCAGATAATACAGTTACCCTGGCAGCTTCTCGCACAATCAGCCTGGGAAGTTGGAATTGGCCCTTCCTAGTCTATCAGAGCTTAACTGAAATGGACGCTTTTCACTCACAGCGCGGAATTCAATTTGGATAAATGTCCTTCAAATACAAGACAGCATTTGCTGATGGGTTTTTTATGGCTACATCTGCATGATGAGGTAAGGGTGTGATTCCCTGGCTCGTATACACTTACGCCCAGAGCCGGCCTTACCCATATGCAGCTGCGTTGGGAACCTGAAAATGTGGAGCACCATGGGGTCTTAAAGTCCACCCACCTCTTCCTGTCCCTGGTCTGTGGCTCTGCTGCCTCTGGAGAGGATCTTGTTAACTTAACAGTGACAAAGCCTGCCAGGACTATTAGCAGAACCTGAATTTACTGGGTTAGTTCACAGGACCTTAGTTTAAAATTTGCTTGAAAACTATTTCGTTAGCGTGTTGCTGAAGATTATAAAATCACAGCTCTAAAAAACTGTCGGCCCGCCAGCTGCCATCAGGCACAGGGGCCCCAGTTTAGTACTGCACAGGGCCATATAAATCCTAAGGACGGCCCTGCTTACTCCTCTCATTGAGCTTCTGCCGACACCAATAGCAACATACACTGGGGGGTTAGGTCAGACTTAGCCACATTAGGTCGATTTTCTAAACAGTGAGTCCACACTACCAAGCCCGTTCCATCAACTTTAGGGCTGTGAAAGTTGATTTCAATACTTCTGCTTTTTGTGAGGAGTAATGGTAAATTCAGCCTGGCTTGGTCAACTTTACAGCAGGGCAGACACAGTGCTGTGAAAGACGACGTTCTTGGCCTCCAGGCTGTGTCCCACAGTGCCATGTTGTGATCACCCAGGCCAGGACTTGCAACTCTGCTGCTCTCCAGGGGTACGTCTAGACTACAGGCTTCTGTCAACAGAAGTTTTGTCGACAGATACTGTCGACAAAACTTCTGTCGACAAAGAGCGTCTAGACTATATTGAGTTCTGTCGACAAAGCAAGCCGCTTTGTTGACATGGTAGTGTAGACGCAAAGGACAGTTTACATGCAATAACACCTTCTGTCGACAGAAACTCTGTCGACAGAAAGTGTTATGCCTCGTAAAATGAGGTTTACCAGCTTCGACAAAACTGCTGAGTTCTGTCGACGTTATGTCGACAGAACTCAGTGGTAGTGTGGACGCAGGTATAGTTTTATCGACAAAAGTCCACTTTTGTCAACAAAACTCTGTAGTCTAGACACACCCCAGGTGCACAGGAAAATTGGCATCTCATTTTCTGCGTGGCCAGTGTAGCCAGCGCACCTCAGCAGCTCTCCTGAACATGAATGCCAAGGGTCGCAAACGAAATCCTGGACCTCGCTGCTGTGTGGGGAGAAGAATCTGTTCTCAGAACTAAGAACCAGCAAAAGAAACATGGATATCTATGCCTTGACCACATAAGGCGTGGAGGAGGAAGGCCCGGGACGCCCAGGGGTGCTGTGTGAAAATAAAGGAGATGAGGCATTCATACCAGAAGACAAAGGAGGCAAATGGATGGTCTGGAACATCACCGCAAACATGTGATGTGAGCAGCTGCATGCGTTCCTAGGGGGGAACCTGACCAGCTTCCCTAGCCCATTTGTGGATTCCCCCCAAGACACTCCTGTGATAGTGCTGGGCAGCAGCGTGGAGGACAGCAGGGTGGAGGAGAAGGAGAATGGCCAGCAGGCAAGCGGGGCAACTGATCTCACCTCCAGGCAGGACCTCTTTATAACTTTGGAGACAGCTTCCCGCAGATCCCCTTGGCTGCAAACGGTGAGCCAATGGCCGCGGAGCCAGTATGCATACAAACCGGAGTGGCCCGTTAGCAGCTTTCGCAGAGTGGGTCCGCGGCCACTTGGAGAAATGCTGCTGTAGCGGGCAGAAGTTTCTAGGGAAGATCTGACGTTAGTCCCAAGTTAATACACATGCTCAGACTTGGGCATGACCGCACCAGAACAGGCCACTCAGTCATTCAGGGTATATCCAAACTGTAATTAAACACCTGCTGTTGGCGCACATCAGCTGACTAGGGTTCCTGCCAACAGGGCCAGAGCCCAATTTCCAGCCCCTGTCCAAAAGCCTTCTCTGCAGCTTTACAGCCCTGTTGCCTAAGCCAGAGTCAGCTGACGTGGGCCACTTGCAGTGTTTAAGTGCAATACAGACATACTCTTGGTCAGTACCCTGTTGCTGGTGGCGGCCAATACTGAATGCCTCAGATAAAGGTGCAACACATCCCTCCTTCAATAATGGATCAAATTCTGCAATTTTGTACCATAAAAGGCCACACAATTATTCCAGTGTTTTATCTCAGGATGTTTGTTCTCTAGAATGCGCATTTTTGGAATATGTGACTTTCCGAAGAGATACATTTAGGGAAATTATACCTGAAATAGATGACACTTTTTTTAAAGGGTATATTTGGTGTTGCATTCGGAAACACCTGATATGGAAATAATTCTTGCCTCCAACCAGTGCTCTGATTAAGGTCTCATGTTCTGCTATTGACGACGGCATTACAAATTCACGTGGTGTCCTTTCTTTGCATCACTAGAGTAAGAATTGCAAAGATTCTAGTAAATTTTTTAAAGTTTTTATTTTTT